ATGAAATGATAGTTATACGACTTTTCTTTCAAATTTCCTTGTTTATCCAAGTCTTTCTCGTTGTTCCTTTTCTAAAAGTCCATAAATTGAGTTGTTTTCGTAAAAGTTTTCCCTAAATTATACCACCATCAACTCTTCAACTACCGCCAATTTTCCCCATTAGACTGAAAAAGTCGCGTTTCCTCTATGGGTGACATGCTCTTATCGAGGAAACAATCAATACGCTTTCCGCAGTTTTCCAGGCCGAAAAAATTTCCACCCACAATTGTTCTTTGTTGCACTTGCAGTGTGCTCTACTACAGAAAAAGAAAAAGCTGATGGGGGCGCGGGGGAAAACCCGCAACTAGTTGCTCTTTGTAGCTAGAAAAACTAAAAGCCAGACAAATGTAACAGCCAGAAAATCGATATTCGTAGGAGTTGGGTCAGCGGAGAAAATAAAAGGGAGAGCGATTCTCCGGCAAGTGAAGCCAATGAATAACAATTGGGGGGGGAGTGGAGGGTGGTCTGGGGAAAACCCAAGAAGAAAACACCCGCAAATACCGGGGGCGACGCGTCATTTTGTCGCGCGTTGGCGCCACTTTGTTTTATTTATGAATCCCGGGCAGACAGTCGGGCAGAATCCATCCGTCTGAATCCTATGAACCCCAAACTGCCAGGATTTTACTCATTTTCCGAACCCCACTACAGAAGAGGTTCTATTTGCTCAACTGATTTGAAGCTGGCATACAGGGAGAAATCTTTAAGAAGTCAGGAAGACAAAAAAAGTATCTCAAAAGTCATATAGAAATCAAAGTTACAGATAGAAAAAGACCTTCCAAAGTTCCTTGTCCCTGGAGCTCTTAAAATATGACATCTTAAGATCTAGTATAGTGTTTTTTCCAGTGTACAGACTGGACTTTTATGGCTGCTTCTAGTTTTATTTTGCATTTTTATTTGATATTCTCCATTTCCGTTTGCTGTGGATTTGGGTCACCCTGCCACCGCCCACACGCACTCCATTCCCCGGCGACATTCGCAGTTATGTGCTCTGGTTTTTCCACGGAAAATTGAATTGTTTTCCTTTCGACACAACCATTCAGTTCGTCTTCTCCTAACTTTTGTCTTGTAAACAAGTTGTTTGAATGAGAAAAAAGAAGGCAAGAATGGAGGGCTGCGTTAGGTGACACAATTTTCCCAATGAAGTATTAATAAGATGAAACTTTGCCAGAGAAGGGCCTGAATTTGATTTATTTTATTGGTCACATTTGACTTTTATCAGGATAAGGAAAAGTTATTCCAGGAACTTATTGGATATTAATTTTATTTTAAGACATAAGTGGATCATTTGCAGTGACAAGAGGTTGATGAAGTCTTATTTATATGGCATTTATATAACTACTAAAAACGTCTTTAAAACTTGAAATCCTTTAACCGCTTGCCAGAGACTAGATCCCCCTATTTTAACCCCATTTTAACCCCCTTCAAAAAGGAGTTCAGCACGTGACAATGGCCAGGAAACTTGACTTCCTCATCCAGTCGTAGCTATTTTATGAACGGGGTCAACTATTTGGCTCTGCCTCTCATTCCCTCTTCTTTTTGTCCTCGTTTCCCATAAAAAACGGAACTCATGACGAACTTGTGCCACCCCCTGAACCTCCTCCACTCTCTGGCAGGTGTCTCACTGCTAATTGCCGTCATTTCGTGTGCAAATTGTGCGCAGGTAATTGATGCCCCCCCTTGGGAACTCGTATTTCATTGGCCCCCCTCGCACCGCCTCCTCCTCATGGTCAAGGCATTCGTGTTAACTCATTGCATTTTCAGTACATTTTTTTATTGATTTTCAATGAGTTTTGTTTTTTAAATTGGAATGCTTTGAGTGTGTGGCAGTGACAGCCGGCGCGTTCCTAAAGTTGACAAGGTCATGGGTTCTCTCCTCAGCTTAATCGATCAGTTCGATGGGAAAAATTCGCATTTGACAAGCTGGACATGCATTAGTTGGGTTTTGTATCTTAAAGGTTACTTTTTTAAATTTTAATGGGTTTGGGAGGGAAACTAAGCCAACTCGTGGCAACGAGCTCAAGGATGTTTTTTATAAGTTTTCTATGAAAATTTAAGTCAAAGTTGCTTACCTTCCTCTTCCCTAAAGTAAGCCTTTTCTTGATACATATATTTTATAAGATTTTTAAATATGTTTTTTAAATATTAAAAGCTTTGAATATATATAGATTTAAATATAAATGTTATATGATAGAAATCAAGGGTCTTTCGAAAGCAGAAAAAGAATATTTTTTTTAGAAAAATGTGTGAAAAGTCTCATTTATTTTCTAAGCAAAAAGTTAACTTTTGTCTAATATTTTTATGCCTTTAAAGGAAAAAGTATAAAGTTAAATAAACCTTTCTATGAATTAATTTCTAAACATTTTTAAACATGTTTTCCTAAAATTTTAAGGATTTTATTCATAAAAAAATTCAGTTTATTAGAAAACTGTAATATTTCTTAACGAAATACCAGTTTCCTGTAAGTTCCCCTTAATTTCCCAAAAGATAAACTTAAAGATGACGGCAAACTACTTTCGACTCTACTCTACACTTCCAAGAACTCTAATTTGTAACACCCCCTCCTTGCTGCACCCTTATCACACTCCCTCGCAATTAAATTTTCCTGCAGTCACAACTCAATTTCCTCCGTGCTTCCTGGCACGCTTCAATTGCCAGGACACCAGCACATGTCCCAAGATCTCATTCAAATGCTCAGCCAAAGTGTCAGAAAGAGTGTTTGGAAATATGCTCTTTCTATTGCTTTGCCGACAGCTCAATTAAGGCTAAGATAGCCTTTGAGGTGATCCTTCGGATGCAACAATTAGAAATCTCACCGTGCAAGGGCAGGTAGAAAGGTCTAAAAGGTCCTTAGAGGAGGGGTGGAAAGTGTGCCCTTAAGGCTCTGCACTTAGTTACGCAACATTTGCGACGATCCCGAGATAAGAATGTCCTTAAAAAACGTAGGCGTTGGGCAGGCGTTTGACAATTTTTTATTGTTTGTAAATTTAAATGCGTTTCCCTCGAACACAGCTGTTCCTATATAGTTTTCCTTATAGTTTTAACCCCGACCTACTGACAGTTTGTTAATTTTTTCACCCCAAGCCGAGGGCATTTCCTTAATTTCCCCGTGTTTAAATTAAGTTGTTGCCACATTTGTCTGCCTTTCCTTTCCTTTTTGGCGTTGAAAGTGCTTCAAGTGGCAGCTCATTAATCCTGCGGCTGCTGCTTCTTCTATTCGCTTTCACCGCCTGCCACTTGTGGCACGTGTGTGTGCGTGGGGCTGTCCTTGTCCATGGACTCTCGTGTCCTTCCATATTCTTAATTAGTTGCGCACTTGTAAGAAAATCGTTTAGCCAAGCAATTTGTTAACTGCTTGGTTACTCCTCTAATTTCAATCTCTAACGTTCTCGAGGCAGCATTTCGAAGAGCTCATAAATTACAGGGCCCAAAAGTTTGGCTTTTCCTTTTTGTTGGTTTATCGAAAAGTTTTGATAATCGATAGGAGGTTACCTTTTGTGTCTTTGTTTTACCTTTCGTAGCTTTATTCCTTTGGTTATGAATAACTTCGAATGATAACTATGATAACTTCGTGATTTGTGGGCGTTAGAGTGGGCGTGAATGCTGAAATAAACTTGCGCTGTCCAGGGACCTCAAGAATCTTAATGCTTAATCTCAACTTTGTATCTGATATAGTTCCTGAAATCTCAGCGTTCATACGGACAGACGGACGGACAGACGGACCAACGGTCAGACGGACATGGCTCAATCGACTTCGCTATTGATCCTGATCAATAATATATATATTTTATAGGGTCGGAAACGCTTCCTTCTATCTGTTACATACTCTTCTACGGATTGCTACGAGTAACGGGTATAGTAATAAAATTTAAACTAATTTTATTATATAATGCAACAATTAATTTTAAAATAAGAAATCGAGAAGTAGCAGTACCTTGCCAACCAACACTTGGTATTTTCATAAGTTTTATTTGATTTTAACACCCTTGCAAGGCCCTCCCCAACTTTTCCAAGTCCAACTTGTCGCAACGAAAAATCCCAAAGAGGCAAACGAAGAGTTTGCTTAGCAAAGTTTTCCTAGCCTCCGGCAGTTCTAAGCATTTCTGCAAGCCAAAAGGAAACAGCTCCTGGCTTCACTTCCGGCATTCTACCTACATCCGCCCGCCCGTATTTCCCTTTCTAGGAAACCAAGAAGGAAAGCGCAGAAATTAAATTTAAGCTGATTTCGGATTTACGACGAGGTCTGTTGGAAGGAAAAACTGTGGATAAAAAGTTGCTGGCAGGGATTAGCAGGCGGAAAACGGGAAAACGGAAAATCCATCTGACAGACGTGGCCCGTCTAATTTGTCGCGTGTCCAGCAGAAAGCAAAAAAAAAACCAGCGGCATTTTCACGTAGTTTTCCGCAATTCTTCTTCTTTATATTTTTTCCACACCAAAGTTAACAATTTTTTTAATTAAAACTTTTTTGCTTGGCCAAGAATGATGACAACTTTTCCTTGGTTATTTTCCCTTAGCTGACTCAACGATATTTCCTTTTTATATTGCCCAAATATTGGCCATAATTAAGGCGATAAAAAAATGACAGTACAGAGCGATAATTATTTGCCTGCCTCTGACCGACCTTCTCCCTTCTTCCTCCCTCACAATTAGATACTTCTATCTCGCTTTGTCGTCTTTTAATTTGCATTTTAATTTATGGCCGCCTATAACTTTTATCGATGTCGTTGTCTTTGCCTTTTCCGCTAAGGCCAAAAGGTCAAACAGCTGTGTGGTGCTTAGCGTCGGCCTCTATGGACGTCATTGGCCCGAACTCTTGTCGTCGAAGCTCAATTAGCAGTTGCTTCGGAAGGAGGATAAGGCAAAAGGTTAGGCCAAACTGACCAGGCACATATGGTTTTAGAAAGAAAAACTAAAGGAATTTCCATTTTGATGACGGCAAAGCAGGAATCTCTACTCTTATCAGAGAGGGGTGTAAAGGTAAGAGTGACCCCATTAAGATAGGTGAAAGGTTTTAGAAATTCTTCCTTGGGGGCACAGCTGTGAAGTTAGAAACTTTGAGATTTTCAAGTGTGAGAAGGGTAAAGGAAGAATCTGTACGCCTATGATTATTGTTTGATTATCAAAGAGCAGTTTAAGGGAAAGAGCATTATTAAGCACTTTGGTATGTCAAATTCAATAATATAGCTTAATATATTCTCATACTCATGAAATGTTTGTTTACAAAAACTTCTTTAAATGACATATGCCCCATGAACCCCCCAAGTATCATAGATATGCGTGTGTGTGGAGCAACAAACTAATGTTCCTCCTGTTTAGAGTTCTTGAACGTGCACTCGGACCAAGCACGCCTCCGTGGTCGTTCCCCTTTATGGCACATAAAACATAAATCATACTTATCTAAGATATTTTTTATTCAAGAACTCCCTTAACCATCATTACCAATGAGGCTCAACAATGTGTCCCTGAAAGAAGACCGTTTTATGATCACGAATTACGTAAGCGAATTGATGATCTGCTATGAAATTCATGGACGGCTGAAGGTTATCAAGCGACCTCTTTCGTCGAATATGTACTCCTGAAAATGAAAATATAATCCAGTAAGATGTATTTACTAAGTAACTATGACTAAATACCTGTTGCTGCGGCAGCCTCGGAGCCACTTTCGTCGACCTTTAAAAAGGCTTTTTGTATGATTTTATCAATCTTGACGCCCGTGCCCGAGACTAAGCCTTCAAAGTCAGCGGAGTTTTCAAAGGCTTCGCGAATGCCTAACTAAAAGAAGTTATAGAACTGGAAAAGTTTATATTCAGAGAGATACTAACCTTCTTAAGAACTGAACTTAACTGAGTGCTTAATTCGATTTTAAACTTGGGCAGCTTCACATTCACTGAAGTTCTCTGCAGGACCCTCGAGAAACCAGAAAGCTTTTCTTCCAACTTTATAAGACCATCGATTTTGTTGGGCAGGAAGATGCGCATCGAAAGGTTAGACTTCCGGTAGGGTAGCTCTATCACCTTGGCATCTAAGTCATCCAAGTTGGCTGCCATTAGCTGTCCAGAGAAGGTCATCATCTCGACGGGAATGATTTTGTCAATGGTTATATGGAAATCCTCCTCGTTGGATTGATCATCATCATGGAATTGGTGTTGCCAGTGACCTTCGAAGTAAATGGCATTTACCAGAATCGTGCTAAGATCGGAATGCATGTCACTGGGTGCAACAATGTCCGTGATCTTGCCACGCGTCTGCTTGGCTACCCAACCATTGACAATCGATGAGGCATTAATAGGATTTTCCATGTTGATCGCCTTGGCTTTGGCCTTGAAGGACCCTTGCACTAACTTATTAAAGTCCGGAACTAGGCGATATTTTCTGTTGACATATATCCGGTTTGTTAGATGAAGGGTCACAGACTTTTCCCGATCTTGAAGACTTTTGAAAAACTCCCTGTAGCTGTCAGCCACATCTTCCTTATCCTCAGCCAAGTGCAGAGTGTTTCTTAGCTGCTTAGCCGTTTTCCCCCCAGCTGCTATGTACATCATGCTTAAGACAATCTCCACGGAAATCGGCGATGCAATGAGGTTCTTGTGCGCATTTTCCTTGGCTAATATTTGATAGAAATCATCGCTGAACCGACAAGCCACCGATGAGGCCAACAAAATCAGATCTGTAAAAGAGAAATTGAGAAAGTTTTAGGTGTAAAGTTTGGATCTGTTTTTCCCGCTTACTCAAGTATTTCATTGGAATTGCCACTTCAGACTTCGGGAATATCAGCAGACGCTGATTATTTCTAGTTAATTGACTTAATAACGACGGCTGGACATGGACATTAGCAGGTAAATCAATTTCAAATGCTATTTGTTTATGGCCATGTGTCTGGGCTTACTGTGCGAGAGGGAAGGGTGAGCGATGTCAGTGTTGCAAAACGTATGAAAAGTGCATATGTTCGACATTAACCAACCATCTCAAACTTAACGGCTCTTCTTTATTCAAAGTTTTTATCTGCTAAACTTGTTATAAAAATAAACGTTCAAAGCGATGAAATAAATGCCTAGAAAATACATTTTAACCTGTTTATTTATAAAGTAATTTTATTTATATTTTGTCAAGCTTTCGGAATCTTTGGAGTTTTATAATTTTAGGGAGCAAATAATATTCAATAATGGCAAATTTTTTAAATTTTCTTTTAGATTACTCTAAGCATGCAGTCATCTTTCTAACTGCTTAAAAAAATGATAAAAACCGTAAAATCCTAGTTTAAGCTTTTTATTTGCCTTTGTTATAAAATTGCTCACTAAGGGTGGCCCACGGAAGATTTGCGTTTTAAAATCGCTATAAAAATATCAATATTTCCCAATTTTCTTCAAGCGTGAACTTAACCAATTCGTAAACAGCAAACCTTCTACTAAATATCTGACACATTGACAATGACATTTTAAATGTCAAAGAAAATTATCGATAGTTCAAAAACCAAACACTACATGGGCCACCCTGTACAACATAGATAAAACCATAATAGATGATGTGTTATATTCTAAGAAAAACCTAGAAATGATAGAGAAAGTATTGCTTTTTATACATAAAATATGACTTATAAATGACTATTAAATGTACAAAAATCTTAGAAAATCCAAAACATATTCCCTATAAATAAGACAAAAACAAGAAAGAAAATAAATTATTTTTAATAGCTTCAAATCGATCAAACTTTCTGGAGTTACTTAAGCCTAACATGATCCCCAACAACTACTTCCTTGCCCCCTGAAATCACCGCTTACCAAACCCGTTCCCCTTGTCGCTTCTAATGAACACATGTCAATTAAACCCCCAGTCTCGTGTCTCATGTCCATGGAATGAAATATGTTCGCTAGTCGCAGTCTTCGACTCAGTCAGAGTCAGAGGACTCCTTCTCCAATTTAAAAGTCAACTTCAGCTCAGAGTTGCACTTGGAAAAGGGAATATAACAGTTTATAAAAGTGGAAATTAAAGAATTTGTTATACAAAATGAGCTTGTGAAATGTGTTATATAGGAAGGTCAGCTGAAGGCCTCACAAATGTCTTAAAACCTAACGATAATTATTTATATATTTCATTAAAACTGAGTTCCCAGTTTTATCAATTTCAAGTCTGACACATGCTTTTAAGTATTCCAAAAATATATTTGATAAAAGGACAGACATTTTCTAATGACTAACAAAGAAGCATTTTTTAATACGAATTAAACAGAAATAAATAAAAAAAAGCTTAAAAGCTAATTATCATCAGACAGTCACTTCCTGAAATGAATAAAACGAAGTTTTTGTTTTTGATTCACCAAATATTGCTAGGGAAAGTATTTTTCTCAGTGCAGATGGCAGTCTTGCGTGCTTGTCGGCGGCTGCCTGTGTTACGTTTCTCTCCGTTACGCACATTTTCGCTTATTGGTGGGGAGTGATGGGGGTGCGGGTGCTAAAAAGTGGGTGGTGGCTTTCGGAGGGGATAGTGGAAGAGAGGCAGACAAGCGACAGCTCGGACATGTTCGCCTCAAACCCCTCAAAAAAAAGAAAAACAAAAAGACGACGAACCAAAATGCAAGTGTCTCGCCTTACAGTCGCCCCCAACTCTTTCGCTATGAGCCTGATTTATGTCGTCGAGTGTCGCGGGTGTTGCGTGTTGGCACCCACAGCCCTCTTGCCCTGCTTCTATGTACAGGGAGAGAGATTTTAAAAATATATATTTTATATATCTGATTATTTCTATTGTTTTAAAATCTTTGAAAGAACCAATAACATAACAAATCATCTTATTAAATAAATAATAAAAAAAAAATAGTAAAAACACATAATAAATATATATAATATAATCTTAAAGTAAAATTTCAAACTATTTTCTTATTAATTCACATTTTTTACTAAATTCCTACTAGAAATTTCTTTCACTGTAGTCATCTGAGACTCCAGGCAATGGAGTTTGAGTTTTTTCTTCTTCTTCCTCTGTGGTCAGCTGGCTGTCTTCTGTCGATTGGCACTGAAGCGAAGCAGGCGATTTCCGCTTTAATGTAATTTTGACAACGCTTCCAGGGTGGCTAGCGAGAGGGGGTCCAGGGGGTGGGTCATTGGAACGGCACTGTTGTCAGGGGGAGGTTCAGGCGGCTCAATATCGTCATCAAGGAAATGTCATGATAAATCTTACTCGACTTTCGCGTGGCCGAAACCGTTACAGTAGCAACTACGAATTCGATTTCGATTTGGGTTTTCGTTTTTATTTAAAATCGTATTTGATACCCTGTAATTAGGAAGATCATATCAAGTGGGACTAACTAAGAGGGGTAAAATTAATAGAAAAGAAGTTAAGGAATGTGGAAGCGTCCAGTTTAGAAATTTGGTTTTAATTTTTGGCTTTTCAAAGAGATTAAAAATTTAAAATATTTATAAATTTATGAGTTAATATTGATACTTCGTGGACATACGTTTATTAAGCTTATAACTCGAATATAAATATTATTAAAGAATATCCAATATTCAATATCATAAGCTATACAGATTAATCTCTATATAAAGTTCTCAAACTTAGAAAAAAGTGTATCCCACAGTCATCAAACCCAGTTACTGGAAAGTAGTTTTCCTTTTTTCTGTTTAATTTTCAGCTTTTCCAGTTCTCTTATCATGCGATTTGTTTTGCATGTTTTGATTTATCTGATTTGCTGGATATTCGATTACCCGATAACTCGATTGCAGCGGCATTTTGCAGTAGTTGTGGAACCACTTTTCCCGCACTGTCTCCATGCCCCTTTTGTTACAGCCTACCATTCACAGTGCAACGGATTCAAATTCATGTTGCGACGCCCTGAAGTCTGTTTCCTTATCATCAGTTTCGAGAGTCATTAAAGTTCTTGGCGATGACCCAGAGAATCGTAAACCCAGCTTGAGTCATTGATGCACTGATGATACGCATTCCAGTCTTCCACTCACTATTTTTCCAGATTACAAGTGGCAGAGGAGGCATCAAGAAAATCACCATAAAATCTGTTCTTTAATGGGAAATTTAAATTTTCCAGCAATTTAATAAGTCATATCAGACCAAGTTTAAACCTATGGAAAGACAAGGAGAAAGGTTGATGGATTGTTTAATTGATTAACTAAAGTGATTGATTGTGGAAACTAAATTGAACTAGACAAAGGTTTCTATTCATGGGGCGTGCTAGGAGAGGGCGTGTTGGAAAGACCTAAGATAACCGATAGCTGGAAAATGTTAATAAGATAAAGAAAACACGGGTTATATATAAATACATATATATTGTATATATATGGATTACACATAATTTTGTATATCGACAGCAATAAAATGAAAATGAGCTGAGTTAGCGGAATCACAGCTCGGCCATTTATCGTTGGAAAAATAAGACTGAAAGGCAAAACAAGACAAGTAAGAACGTTTAAGTTGAGTTTTTAGAACTTTTAGATACCTAGTAAATGCTTGAAAGTGGTTCTTACAGATAGTAATTAACTAAATATTTTTTTAAAAATTTTCAGAAGTCGCTGAAGGCGATTTCTGTTGAAAACAGTAAAAATGAAGAAGTAAAACGTTTTTTTAACATAAATATATAAAAATAAAATCAAATAAACATAATATAATAATAATTACATACATTAAAATATTTTCTAACCTTATAAAACTCTTAATATATATTTTTTTTTAATGTACAAATTTGATACACCCCATGTTTTCTCCCTAGTACCGCGTATAATTAAAATAATGAAACCCCAAGAAATATAAGTAAATTCAGTGAAAAAAAAACTTTGCAATAAAACGTGCGAAGTTATAAAAACAATGGAGGCAAAGCGGTCAGAGAGGGAGAGTAAAAAAATGAGCGAGGGAGAACGCACCAGATAAAGCCGAGCTCGATTCCACGGAGGTCTGTTCTGGGGGCTACGATCCGATTCTTTGTTGTGGTCAGTTGGAAAATCGAAGGCGTCGCGTCGCGTTGCGACTTCAAAACGAACTTTAAACGAAACGAACTAGTTTTTAAATATGAAAACAATAAGAAATTAAATAAAATAATTACTACAATTAAAGTTAGTGTTTGAAAAGTGGAAAGTACTTAATATAATGTATAGTGAACAAAAATGATAAGAATATGCAAATCTACTTTCATTATTAATCATCTTTGAAGTTATAAAAAAAGTAAAATGGGAGTCATCTTACTATATAAAATAATCTTAAATCTATGCATAAATCAACTTTAAAAATAAAACGAAATATTTAAAGTGTTCTTACTATAAAGAATATATGAAATTAACGAAAAACCATTTAATTTATGTTCTTTAACGCGTGAAAAGAAACTTGAAAAGTTTTTTAACTTGAGAATTAAAAGCTTATCGAAATTTTCAAAAATAGCTTAAAAACCTTGAAGTGAGCCATTAAAAACAAACTTAAACTAATGTAAGTACATTATAATAATTTACTGGTTAGCCATATTTTGACATTGAATAATTTTTTGTAGCTTAAAAAATGAGTTCGTATAGGACATTGGTAGATCGTGGACCTCCCATCCTTGTGAATGGCATTGAAATAACGCCGATCAGTGCCTCGGCCACTAGTTCGCCCAAAACTCTACACCGAATGATCAAGTATTGGCGCAATAGTTCCGGAAAAATTCCGGGTCTGCGGAAAAGCGAGAGTTTTGCGGAGTATCGCCGCCACTCATCAAACGCGGCCCCAGTTTCTAGAGGATCCGGGGGCAGATCAAGCACTTCGAGTGCCAGGCAGTTGCAATATCAGCGACTGGAGATGGAAAGCTGCGAGAATATTGACTTGCTGACAGGACCACTAAGGTGAGTTCGATTCGATAGAATTAAGCATGGAATGCTATAAACAATTAGCCCGAAATCGTTTCGAAATCAATTTATCTCTTACTCTTAAAAAACAATAGAGCTGGAATATAAAACCTAATTTTGTAAACTAAATAAGATATGCAAATGTATGCATAGATTTCCAACCTGTTTACATAGAATACACCCAAAAAATAATAGTAGCATCCATTGTCTTGCGGTATTCGTTTGAAGTGTAACCCCAAATATGTGGGGCATGCAACAGTTGGTTATCGGTTGGTTGTCTGCTTTTCGAAACGCCCCTCGCAGCTGCGGTTTATCTTGCGGTTATCAGCTGTTCCTTATCAGCCAACAAAAACAACAAACCCCAACATTGTGGATGAGATAGAGAGAAACGAACAAGTGCAACACGCCACCGCAAAAGCCGACGTCACTTTGTGGATTTTGTGGATCCAATCCGTGGGAGAGTTAGCTGCGTGAGAGTGGGAGAGAAATTATTTATGTTGGATCCAAACTCTCGAGTCGTAGTCGCTTCGCTTCGCTTCGGGTGAACTGTTGGACTTCCAGTATCCACATACAGTCCACAGCGCGTGGTGGAGCTTGGAACGTTTTGTACACTGAAACTGAAGTAAAAGTCCTAGCATGAAAAAATTGAAACCCTATTTAAGTACAATTTCTAGAAAAAACTAAATGTTGAGGGAATTCAAAAGTTCGGAAAATATTGTTTTAAAAAAAAAAAAAATAATATATTGATAAACTATTTGTTTTAAATAAATTCTTAGGTAAATATAACAGTATGATACATTATAAAAATAGTGTAATATATTTTTGAAAATAAGTCAAGCAGTCTAACAATTTTTTTCAGTGTAAAAATAAACTGTTTATGTTTTCATTCCAATAACGGAGAGTGGGATAAAGAGCGATTATGGGAGCATAATTTCGGTGATTCTCTCAGGCCAAAAACAAAAAGCATATGGAACGCCGTCTCTTTTTGACTCGTGCCTCTGTTTACTTATGTATTTGTGTCCCACGCCGGTTATTCAGTTTGTTTTCGTTATCTCTCCGCGGTGGGAAATCATTGCCTTCTGCATACTTTTGGGGTACACTGTGCAAATATCCAACTTGCAACTGCATCGGCGGCTCCTTTGAGCCGCATTGTTTTCCAAACTGTTTACTTTGGCTAATGCGGGCTGCCCCTTGTACCAACCCCTCCTTCGGCATCCTTCCCTCGCTCCATCTCTTTCTGTTTGCTTAAACTGCGCGCATTTGGAATGTAAATAAATGTAAATAAACAAGAATCTCGCCCCCATGAAGGCAACAAAAGCAATAAGTGCACAAAAACAACAAACTGCAGTCCTCCCACTCTCACTGTCTCTCTCTCTCACCCAAAAGCAAAGTGCAAGTACAACTGAGGTCATATTGGTAGTATCGGTAGTTCATTTTGATTTCATTTTATCTTCCAACTTCTATAAGATACTTTATTTAAATATGTGCGTAATTTACCATAAATATTCAATTATTTCTGGCCATGCTACGATTTTATGCATACCACGAATGTATAGTTCAGACACCAGCTACTATTATGGCCCCAATTGTACGATAACTCTTCCAGCGCCAGAGAGCGAGAGAGCGCCCTGGAGAGCCGGTTTGTGTGGATTATATTCCCATGTGGAACCTGAAATCTGAGCTTCGTGCGCAATGTGCGAGCAGTGTGATTGCTGTTGTTGTTGCTCCTCATTCGTTTTGGGGGCTAAACCAGCAGCTTTTCTACTTTTCGCCTCAGAGTCGTTTTGAAAACCGACTCGTGTGGGCGTGCGAGCCAGCGAGTGTCCGTCTGTGTGTGTGCGAGTGCGAGGACAACCAGGCGTGTGTTCGTTGTATGTGTACATAGTCGCGCGTCTGCGTCGGGAAAATTCTGAAATCGGAAAACGGAACAGGAATCGTAATATATTTCGGGTTTCCGGTACGTCTTCTGCTGCTGCTGCTGCTCCTTCGTCATGATTAGCTAGTTAAAAAGTAACGGTAGAACACGACGAGCAGTTGCCAATTGGCAGCAACAGATGAAAGAGCAAGAAGAGCAGCGCGAAAAGAAAAAATCAAAACAAAACTCAGATAAATAATAAAACTAAAGGAAAAGCAAACAATAATAAAGCTACAGATTCGTTGAACGAATTTAACGAATATGTGAAAGTGAAAAGGTAAAAAATAAACAAAAATAAAGTTTATAAATGAGTTTAAAACAAAATAACTTATTAAATAATGTGTTGTTATGACTTCTTCTTAATTAATTAATTATAAAAAACTCTTTAAATGTGGAGTGAAACTTTTTATAAAAGAAAACAGTAAACTAACTAATGTTGTTTGAAATGAAAGTGATTGTGCTTGAATGGCTACAAAAATTGAAATAGCATTTGCTGGCCTTATCAAAAAAAAAATTAGAAGCGAAAGTGGCAAAGGTGTCATTCAAATAGGCGAGAAGAAATACAAAAAACGAAAACAAAATAAGGCTGCCAAAAAAAACGGCTGCATAAATACCCGCACGTAGTTAAAAAGTGAAATTTTCAAACAAATATTGTTGACTGAATTTGTAATTTAACGAGCAAAGAATCCAAAAAAGAAGAAGCGAAGAAAGTGTTCAAATTGAAAACAAGTGAAATTGTGTGTGTAATATTCGTTTTTTTGTGCAATTCAATTACGAAAATGCCATTAAATAGCCAAAAAGTGCAAAAAATGACGGAATAACATAATCACCACAAACAAATGTCAAAGCTCTAAAAAAAGAAGAAAATAAAACAACAAATGAGAAATATTTATAAAAAGAAATAACCACAAAAAGTTCCGTTTTTGTGTCTTTTCTTTCTCTCCACCTCTCTCTGTCTTTCTTCATCTCGTTTTTGCCGGTTCCCAAACTGAATTTGTTTTTGTGTTTTTGGAGTTCGATTAAAATGCGTCACGCATGATTATTACGTGTGTTTTTTGTTTTTTATAACCTGCGATCGTTTTCAAATTTTATTTCCTTTATTTTTTGTGATTTATGTGCAAGTTGTGTGAGCTGTTTGAAGTTATAAAGTTACCTCAACAAGTGGAAATGTTTCTTTTCGAATTCGAATTTTTATTAAGAGGTAAAAATACTTAAAGATCATGAACCCTAGCAGGTTTTTGTGGGATTTCGGTGATTTCAGATCAAAATTCTCATTATTTTTATGAGTTTTTGATATTTTTGAGACAAATAAAAGAATATCGGTTTATTCGTCTTTGTTACCGGTTTAAGATGACTTGTTTGATAAGAAAAGTGTTTTAAGATGGCTAAGATGGATGGTTAAACATAAACTTTTACAGTATGAAAATTTAACTTTTTGTTCCATTTATAACAAAGTTTACTCCGATTCATCTCCTTTGGGAAAACCGCTTATTTCTCTTTTGGTTTTTCTCGTTTCCGACTTGCAAAAATGCAAATTAAAATCCACGCATTTTTTCCGCCACTTCTTGCGCCCTGTTCGTTAGTCCCGTTAAATGACAATGTTGCTACTTCTTCTTCTTCTACTACTGCTCCTCCCATTTTGTTGTTGTTGCTGTTGCTGTTACTGCCTGTTATCAAGCTGGTTGTTGTTGTTTTGTTGTTAATATGCATTGCCAAAGGCAAAAAAAAAGGTAAAAAGTGAGAAAAAAAGTAAAAAGTATGGTAAATTTGCAGAGCACGTGAATTTCTTTTTGGCTTTTAAAACGGGTTTCTGGCCTGAAATGATTTCAGTTCGCAGTTTCTGTTGTTGTTGTTGTTGTGTTTTCTGCTGTTGACTTTTCATTTTCGTTAAATTTTTTCTCGATTTTTGTCCCGCTGCAAGTTGCAAAAATATTTATTGGCATGTGTGTGCGAATTTTGCGACTGCTGTTTGTGTTTTTGGTTGTTTTTCCGTTTTCACTGGCAAAGCCAGCTGCAGTTTTCTGGCATTCCAGTTGCACTTTCCAGAAAACGGGGTAATACGAGATCTCTGAGTGGCTCGATCATAAGAAACATATATTTTTTAATGGTCAACAGCTGCCCAGACATGGGAAAGTGTTTTTTGTGGAATTTTAGAACGCAAATTAAATATTCATCTTCTATACATTTCTTGAATGACAAAAGATGTTATCTAAGTAAATATTTAAATATATAATAAATCTGCTATCTTATCAGAAATGTTTGTTAAAAACAAAAAAGAATGGAAAGAAGTTGACACAATCTCAAGAGCATCCATGATTCATCAGGGTAAATCGGTCGATACCGCCTGCACTTTATCACCCACTTTTGGCAATCTGCTCCCATTCCACGTTCACCTGGATACCTCGATACTCCCATACCCCTACCAGTTTTTCCTTTGTTTGCTTTAGCCTGTTGCATTTTTGGGGCTCCGACTTTTTGTTGCAGTTCTTTCCGAGGGCGAAAAAGGTAAACGACAGCTCATCAAATATTCATGCCATTCGTGAAGAGATTCCCGCTGACCGAATCGGATGTTTGCCTTTTGACAGATATCTTTTTTTTTTGGTTTTTGGTAAGAGGTTTGGAAGGTGGAAGAGATTGCAGTAGCTCTGGCCCATTGAATTTCTTTGGGATGTAAAGTAAACCTCAGCCATGCGGAATGTAAATGAACTCGGGTAGAAAATTGGCCTTGTCTCTCTGCTCGGTGTGAAAATACGGACAATAACAGAAAGCTGAATTAAAAAACAATCCCAAGAAAACGGCTGCTTTTTTGGCCACATCTCTTGCTATCTGCTTCGGTCTCTTCTCTGCTTACTCCGCTTTCTGAGATTCTCCTTTACCACGTCTCAGATTCTCCGCCTGTCCATTCATCGTTCTCCATCTGTCTGGCCCATCAATTGTCTTGTCATCCCTCTCACTTTTAGTCGCCCCTCTCTTTCTCGCCATCACTCGAGAGTTCAAGTTGAAGTGCAGCCAGCACAAAAGCTTGGCTCAGAAAGAGACGGTGCGAGCATGCGGGTGCGAGCGGGAGGGCCAAAACCTCGGCGTGTCATTCGCCTGCATTGATTTTGGATTCTCTTTTTGTAACTTGTTCTTAAAATAAAGCAAGGGTATGATGGGATTTTGGTTTAGGGAGATTTTGTAGTCCTTTATCGTGAAAATTTAATTGAAAATTTGAAGAAAAGGAAATGTATATAGTTTTCTATTTAAATTGAATTACATTTTATATCTGGTTTAACTTTTTGTTAATTAATTTTATAGAGACTATAATAGCTAAGTGAAAGTACTAAGTATCTTAAGGTCTATACAAAAGTTTTGCATTTTTATATCCTTTGTAGGCTGCTGCAAAATTTACCGTTTTGCCGATGCCCTCTTGCTTATCTCGGCAGCCTCAGATTCCCTGCTGCCCCCCTCATCTTCCACCCTTTACGTCGTGTGTTTTTTATTGTTGTTGTTGTTGCAAAAACACACGCGAATTTAATTTATGGGGCGTGTGCCGCCGCTTCTCCCATGACATGGCCCAGTGCCAAATGGCTGGGATCCGAATGGGAAATGGGCAATGGAAAATTCAGGCGGTATCTGCTTCTGCTTCTATGTTTTAGTGCTCACTTTAATTGCCTTTGCCTCGATTTTTCCATATTTTTTCCAGCCATTTTTTTTTGTTTACGACCTGTTTGCACCTGTGCCAAAGAAAATAATAAAATATCCAGTTTTCCAGGCCGACTTTTCCCCCAAAAATATGATGAAACTAATATTTTTGCCAAAGAATTATTACAAGCGAAGGTCATTTGACTTTGAAGTTCTCTTGTTTATCGGCTGTCAAGGGTTAAGGTGGTGGCAAATCAAAACTTTATGGCAAGTTGGCAGCAAAGTGTTCCGAAGGTCTCCTTTGCCTAGGAAAAATATTCTAAAAATATCTTTACCAGTAACAAGATTTGAATTTCGGTGAGGGGAAGTCGGAGGAAACGTAATATCAAAGTTTCTTGGTCTTAATTGCATTTAAAAGTTTCATGTAAATGGGATCGGAGATGTAATTTAAACGCGTTTTAAGTGATATTATTAAAGGAAACATTCATGTTCCTCACTTTGCCATTTAGTTAATCGACACTTAGCAAAATCCCAACTAAACTTCCATTTTCATCCACAAAAATCGAGCCATGTGCCAGAGCTGTCCCCTGCTATAGTTTCAGTATATCAAACTAAGTAGCTACATCAATTTCCCATTAGACTAAACTTACAAACCGAAATATCTGTAACATTTTCCCTGTCCGACACAAAGTAACTCCCCGAAACGAAGAGAAGGGAAGGAGGTTTTGTGGGTGTAGTCAAGGTTGCGCTCAGCCAAAAGCTGATTATTCAGCCAAATTGGCAGGCGATAAGATAAGATACCAATAGCATACAACCAACCGATACTAAACCTGAAACAAAAACCGAACAGAAGTCACAATCTACTAGAATTCCTCTCACAGAAATAAAATAGAAAACAGAAAAGCGGAGCAAGTTGGTCTGCCAACAGCTGTTGATGTTTGTTAGCCGGGCTAGAAAAAGAAAAACCAACATGAAACCAAGCCAGGCCGGAGAAGAGAAGACAAATTTGTTTACAGAATTTGTCAGGGCATAAATATTTGAACACGTGTAACGGCGTAACAAGCAACAAATTGTTCGGTCCCCGAAAAATACTCCCACTTAGCAGGAAAATAGGGAAATGTACATACGGAAGGCAGGCAACTTTGAACTTGCCAAAAATGTGGAGTGGGAAATCCGGATGTTGCCACAGCGGCTTAAAAATTTTCCTAACATTTTCCCTCTAGCATATCAAATATATATTTCAAGATTGATAAGAACACCCATCCCATGCCCATTTTCGATAAGAAAAAAACAATATTCCACTTGGTGACTCAATAGATGGTTTGCTTTTAGTGGCCCGCAGCTCAAATACTCTGTTTATGACGTATCGACACAAAGTTATGGCCATAAAGTACTAACTGAAATCTGATTGCGAAACGTTGACGCAATTATTTGGTAGGAGAGTTGGGGGGAAGAGCTGTATATATGAAGGGGTTTAGCGAATGTTTGAGTATGTCGAGAACTTGACATACTTATCAATGAATAATTGTTGATACTGAAAGAAAAAGTAAGAAAGTAAAGAAGTTGGTTTTGGGAAGAAGACAAAACAGCTAAGACTTCTAAAGAACTTGTGACTCAGGAAAGTAAATATAAAACCATGTCGAGGTAAAGCATTTCCAAACAAATTGATGAAGATATATCGTTGAATATCTGGATTATCATAACAAAATTCAATGGAGCGAAGCTTTTCCAAAAGACTTCCCTGCTCAGCCACATATCATCTGCCAAGTATCTGCATAAACAACTTCTCTCTCTTTGGCAAGCCAAACTTTGGCCTTCATTAACCCAATCAAAGGAATAAAACCGAGAAAAACAAAAATAAAAATCTATAAGAAATCCGCACAATTTCATTTGCAACTCGGATCACAACACATCAATAAAAATGCCAAATTGAATGAGGCAACAATAAAAAAATTATCATTGTTTGGATGACACAGTTGCCAGTTGCCAGTTGCCTTCTCTATTCTCTATGTTACTTATGAGAAAGGCCACCCACTGTGGGTGGGTTTTCTTTACAGCGAGACTGGAATCAACTATTAGCCCAACAGCCCACTCACATCCATACCATCCATTTTTCCCCTCGAATCTCCGATTCTGTTGACATTAATTTGTCCACAGCCAACAACCGCAACAACAACAACCGAATGAATATAAAATTTTTATAGATATTTTCTCAGTTTTTGCATGACACCATAAAAGGTTGTCGTCGTCGCCGACTTGGGGGCGGTTGCTGCCGAGCCTGATTTAAATAAATTATTCTATATGCGTTTTTTATAATGCAGAAAAAAGAATTATTTTGCACTCGCGCTCGCAAATTGTTTTCTACGCCACGTAATTCAATTTCGTTTCAAGTTGAGTTTATTATGAGATTATTTTCTGTGTCATTATTTTTTATTTTTCTATTTTGTACTTTTTATTTTTTTTATCATTCTCACCTGACTGAATGCCTGTTGCTATTTTTTTTTTTGCGGAAATGACGAATTTGCAACAACGGAAGTTGCGTGTTGAGCCTGAAAGCGATGGCCGCATAAATTTTGATTGCTCTTAATGCGATTTGAGTCGAAACGAATTATATATATGTATATAGTCTTTACATTGGGTAATTGCATTACTCTGAGGTATCTCAATCTGGGCAAGTGATTTGGCAAATGTTGCCGAGAAGATTTACAGATTTGCCAAATTTGGGTCAACGGCATTGAAGGGGCATTAGGGCTGAAGTTAAGTAATCATATCGGTTGGCTTATGTTTTGCCTGACTTTGTGGGTTAAATCTAATAAATTAAATGAGGCTGAGGATTTGGTTTATGCTTCTGCAGAAGTAATTTAATATTCCTTTGCGAATTTTAGGGCCAAAATTTTGGCTTTATGTGGGAGAAAGTGAAAGGAAATTATCAGAATTTACATTGTGGTTGAGGTAAAGGCGTTTTATGCTTGAAAGGCCACGTTTAGGAGTACTTAATTACTCGAAATATGTGTAATAATTACAATATATACTTTACAGACGAGTATATAGTCGTAATATTACTTGCCTATGCCAAGAAAGAGTAAAATTTGATTGATTTTTTGCGCTCTTTGGTAAAAATATATGACTTAAAGGCCTTATTACTTCGTATTTATTAAGTATTATAGCTAATAATGATTCTTAAACTGCAGCTTCTCATCTTATATACTAATATTCCCCCTAACTACTGCCATTTCCCCGTAACAGTTTACCCAACAAGACCATACAACAGTCGTAAGTAGCTTAAAACAAGTACAGCTCATCTTCTCCTGGCCGTAACAGGTTCAGTTTTCCACAAATTCTGGCTCGTCTAGCTTTGAGTAACCCTCTTATCATCACCTCCCACTCCCCACAACCAAAAAATCTGATATAATACCATTCACGGCACTCGTTATGTACGCACATTACCACTTAAGCGAGTTGCTTGGCCTTGGAGAGTGGAGCGCGGAGAAGGGAGATTCTGGGAGTCCGGAGGAGTGGCTCCATGGGTTTTTGACGGCCAGATGCCTTCAGTCAATGCCGTAAATCATAAATCAACTCTCCCTTTTCCAGCGGAGGAGGCGGCGGCACTTGGACACGTGCGTCAGTAGCACATTACCTTTTTCCCGGGCCCACCTCTTCTTAAGCCTCCAGGAAATTTCCACATTTTCTTTGCCTCATTTTAGACCTAAGCCAATTGTCAGTGGGGCAGGTTCGCCACGAAGTTTTCCTTTTGCCGCTTTATGAGGGTTTATGGAAGGTTCTTAGAGGAGAGAGGTTAGGTGGGTGGTTAGGTGGGGGCGGCTTAAGTGACTGCCCTGGCAAGTGGTTTTGCCCCGAGGCTTTTCCAACCTGCCTCTTGGAAAACATATGCGGGCTGTTTGTTGTTGTCTCCTCTCTGTTTTGCACGCATTTTCACGCGCTTTTCCTCGCTCTGCTGGGCAGACTTTTCAGCTCCAGCATTACTTTTTAATAATGTGCACTCAAACCCCCGCCCAGAATTCCCATTTATATTTGCCTTTGAGTGATTTTCTTTGTTTTTTCAAGACAAGATTCTTTTGGTTTTTTTTATCAGGTTTTATGGCCATAAAGTCGGCCCACATAAACTTATTAAATTTCCATTCTTTTATTGCTGGCCACATAAAATTCGGTTTCCCAACGGCTGTAAAACGTGCGTAAGGGAAATGCGGCTCAAGTGACCACAACCTAAAGTTTAATTAATAATCGGTAAAAGATAGAGAGCGAAATAGAGAGAGAGAGATAGAAGGGAAAGTCAAACCAAATTTAACATATTCTTGAAATTTTCCCTCTGTGCAGCAGCAAAATGAAAAAAGTGAAGTGAATGTGAAAAACTAAAAGCATTCTTAAAAAAAAAGGGAAGAAAAACCAAAACAAACATAACCAAAAATACTTCAAAACCAAAAATACGAAACCAAAATCAAAATCAAAACAAAAACAAAAGCAACGCCAGTCAATCAAATCCATCAATCATGCTGAAGATACACATGCTGGAGCAGGTCGTCAACACGGAAAATGTCTGCGAGAATGCCCAGGAGCTATCACCAAAGCGCAAATTGCCGGGTCAGGGGCAAATGGGCGGGGGCAGTAACTCCTCTAACGGTGGCACGCCCACTGTCTCGGCGACCTCGTCGCCTCATCATCAGCCCACACCCCCTCAGCGTCACATACATACGAGCGGTGGCAAGAGCGTCAGCCAGGGATCATCGCCAGCTGGGTAAGTAAATAGATTATGGAAAGGGGGAGGTGGGTTTAACTAGGATAAAAGCTAGTAAAGTATGCTTTTAAGTTGGAGGGATTAAGAGCTAGTTAACACTTACACTTAAAAGAGTAAGTGTGATTAGAAATGAGAAGGTTTATAGCTCAAGAGAGGGGTTCCGTTCCGCTTCTTTTATAAATTGTTTTGCCAATTTATTAGCTCTTAATTTGTATTTTAAATATGAGGAATTATGGCTCGAACTTATTATCTTTATTAATGTTTAATATTGAACATAAAAAATAAACAAATATGTACTAAATTTATGGCGGAATTTCTCAAAACAATTGTCTAAAATATCAATTTTATAATCCTAAAGTAGATATATAAAAAATCATTCAAGAAGTATGATTAATGTGGAAAAACTAACTAAAATATAGGTCACTAAAAATTAGCTCCGAGGTAGCTGAAAACCTCATTAATTTTACACACTTCCTGAAGCATTTTCCCTCTGAATAGCCATTCTCCAAATGTGTTTCCCGGTTTTTGGCTAATTGAGGCAGCTACTAGATGGTATCCCCTATAGCTTTTGTGCAATCTGTCCAGTGATAGATGCGTTTTTGATGAGAGCTCCCTTTGGCTGTTTTCCCCTCGAAGCGAGAGCACTCTCTTTTTTTTTTTATGCAATTTTCCTGTTGTCACATTCCTTTGGTCGCTGCGGTTGAGCGACGTTGTCATAATGGGTGCATCGTCCAGCGGTTTTCCCTGCCGTTTTCCCCTTCAGTAATGCCAACTTTTGTTGGCCAGTTAACAAATTTCACCGCAAATTCAGTTATTTTCTTTGTGTTTGCCTTGATGAGTTGAGTTGAAGTGTGGCTAAATGGAAAATGGTTAATGCATTTGCGTGGCGTGAATTGGGTGGTTAAGAGTGGGAGAAATGGGGTTATTGGGTATAGAGTTTAAGGGGAAAATGTATAGATATATATCTCAGTTAATTCTGGTTTAATTCTAGAACTTTAACTCTTAATAATAGGTTGCGAAATACCTTGTCTTGTGATTTTTATGTCATTCTCTACCATTAAATGGGTTTTCCCTGTTTAATTCCCTTGGTAGAACGACAGTTTTGAAGTTGTCAAGTTCATTATCATTCTCGCAAGACACTTTCCGTCTTATCTGAGTGCCAACATTTCAATGGCATTAAGTTTTCCATCAGAAGCGCCTTTCAGTTCGATAAGTTTGAACAAATAATAGCTGTTTGAGAGCTTTTGATTGACAATATGCCATTGAAATGATTGGAAACTTTGTTGCGCAAGTTCTGGTTTTACCACTTTCTATCTTTCCACTTATTTCTATTTAGTTTTCTATTTCTTTTTTCTATTTTTCTTCTATTTGTTTTTCCTATAAGTTTGTCACCCACTGCACTTCATTTCACGCCATCAATGCAGTGGTGTTTCTTTCTTTTCCGCACAGCTACATTGTTGGTCAGCCTTTCCACGAGCTGAGCTTAGATTCCAGCAAGAGTTTTCCCATTTTTCCCTTTCCTTCATCTGAAATTTTCTTGGCCATTCCTTTGTGGCTTGTTATTTTCGCATTAGAGTCTGGTAATTGATACCTTGCGGATGGTTATGGCTTTATGGCTGTGAGAGCGACACATCAAGGCAAGGCGGTTATGGGTGGGTATATCTGTCTAAACAATGGTCTTTTAGGGCGGCTGGGGGCGTGGCCTTGGGCACAGTTTTGTTAATAATTATTATCCGCAAGCTGCATTGTCACATTGTCGTTAGATGGAGTGAAAAATGAAAAAAACTGAATACTAAAAACCGAAACAGAAACAATTTTCATTTTCATTTCTCCTTGTCTCTCCCCCTGAACTTGACAATCAAAGGGGCTTTTCATTTCTTTTGTTTTCCCCACCGCCCACGCAAGACAATTTTCTTTACCCTTCATGCTCCTCTTTTTGCTTTTGGGATTTTCTCTGTTAAAAACATAATATTCAAAACATAAACACTTCCGTTGGCGCCCTTCATTACCCCAGAAATCCTTCTTGGTTTTCCCCTTCGGCTGGCTTTTCTTTTTGTTTGGTGCAGTGAACGAAATGGAAAGAAGGAAAATGAAGGAAATATGATTTTAAAATATGGTTCATCTTTAGATTAGTCAAGTGTTAGAAATGGTTTGGAAATGATTTAAGATATTTCAGTTTAAAATGTTTACTAAACCAAATTTCTTGGTATTTTGAAAGTCATTTTAAATTATTAAAAACATTTTTGATAAAAGGCATGACTAAATAATATTAATAAATTGCATTTAAATTAGTAATATTTCAATTATTCATTTTAAAAATATTTTTAAATATTATAATATTAAATAATTCATTAAATTTCTTAGAAATTTAAGAACTACTTACACTTTCATAGATTTTTAAAACTCAAAAATATGCATCAGAAATATTTAAAAAAAATAAAAACATAAATTTAGTTATTCATAAATTAGGTTTCAAATATAGTTAATATAAAAATTCAAAACAAGAATAATATTTTTATGATCAAGCCAATAAATCATTTAAAAAATATTTAAAGAAAAGAAAACATTTCTTAATATTTAAAAAGAATTACTCAAACTTGTTAAAAACATAATTTATATAAAGAAATTCCCAAAAAATATTATAAAAAATAAAAACACTTATGCACAAATATACATTCATGGGAAAATATCAAAAAATATATCACATTTTTAAGCCATCTGAATCATAGGAGTATATATATATTTCTTCCACTGCAGTCCCTTTGACTTTTGGCTATTTTTGACTTAATTACTTGGGGGCTTATGGGCTTGGCAGCGTTTCTTCGCTGTCCCTTGTTGCATTATTTATGCCTAACATTAGTCGCTATTTTTTTGTTTTTGTTTTCGTAATACCCCTTGCCGCCTTCCTCATCCTTCCCTCTTTCTTGGCTATCCGACAATTTTTGATTTATCTCGGAGTTGTTGGAGACTCGTGTCTTGGGCTGATGTGGTGCTCCCATTATGCCACCACTTACATTTCCAGCCTCATCTGCAACTTCGTGTTCATCTCCATTTCGTTCGGGGAGCTACAGCTAGTTGACCCCGAAACGCTTATTCTTCTACTGCCACCGAAAAAGGGGGCCATCGCAGTTAGCCCAGTTAAAAAAGCCAACTTTGCCGCCTGTCAGTCACTCAAATTGGAGTTCTGTTTCTGTTTCTGTTTTCTGGTTCTATGTTTTTCACTGTTGTTCTCTTCGCCCATTTGAAAAAGGCATTTTTCTGGCTAATTTATATGCAAAGATTGCGCCAAATAGCTGGACAAAAGCAACAAACATGGCAACAACAATTATGTGGCAGCTGACCAGGCCAAAAACCATTTATTCACTTTCCAATTTTTTCAACATTTATTCGGTTTTTGTTTTTTTTTTGTTGCTGTCTGGTCTTCGTTTCTGTTGTTTGTCTTTATTTTTCGTAGAGATAATTT